ACTTATTTTTAATTTTTTATCTTAATAAATTTATAAATTTTAATTTTTTATCTTATATTATGATATTTTTAACCCTTCATTTTTACGCATTTAAAAAAAACTTTTATTTAATATTAGTTTATAAAATTTATCAATTGACTATTAACATTTTATTACCTCTTTTCTTATCGCCATTAACAATTTGTCAATTGACTATTTTATTAACAGTCAGTTGATGAACATTATAACCTCAAGTTAAGTAAGATTTATTTTTTTTAATTTGTATAGTAAAAACATAAAAATATCATAATATAAGTTGAAAGATTAAAACCTATAAACTTATTAAACTAAATGATTAAAAATAAGTTTTTGCCCTCTCTACCCAGCATCTAATTGCTAAGGATATTAATTCAATGCAAAGCTCTTTGTCCTTGTTCCTAAATTTTCCTAAACCGACAAGAAATTACATGTTTCTGCCCCCAGTAATTGTAATATGGGAAAATCCGTTCATTTGTTGTTGACTTGATTTTAGTCCCAAAGGATAAGAAAAGTTGCTTTCAAAACATGGTTTTATTTAGAAGGAAAAAGCCAGATGATTCGCACCAGCATAAATTTTATATTTGATATTTTGGGAAGGTAAGGAGGGTAAAATTGGAAAAATAAATAATACGACATATAAATTTTTTTTTTTTATCTTTGTTGCACAATAAGAGATAACCATATTTTATATCTCATCTTTTATCTCATCCCACCTGCATGTTATGCGATTAGAACACAGGACCTTTTATTTTTAACAAAAAAAAATAATCACTAAATTACTTAAGTTGTTGAAATATGGTTTAAGTACCATTTTAGTCCCTCAACTTATCACTTTGGCACTAAAATTGTCCCTCAGCTTTAAAAAATACTAAAATTATCCTTGAACTTTCATTTTTGGTACCAAAATGATCCTTCCGTCAGTTAAATGCCAGGTGGCTCGTTAAGATGCCACAAAATCACTGGTTTTTTTTTTTATTTTTAATGACATGTAAATCCAGTAACGACATTTTTGACACCATGGCATTTTTTTACACGTCAGATCGTCATCTTCTCAGTTTTTCTTTTTAATGGGGCCCACATGAAAATTTTGTTTTCCCTTTTTCCAGTTTCAATCAAGTTCCCCAAAAATCACAAGTTATCTTCGTTTCTCTTTTCATTTCCTTTTCTCTTTTCATTTACCCTAAACCTACTACTTCTGCAAATTTAAATTAAAATCAAAATAAGATCATCCTTCTTTTTCCTTCTT